TTTTTTTTTTTTGTTTCTTTTCTCGGGGGCGGTCCTGTGCTCGTCTCACGCCGCCTCCTCACTTGCGTTGGCCCAGTAAAAGAAGGAAGAAGGTAACTCCACTGAGACGCGAAGAGTGACAGGAAAAAGAAGAAGTAATACAAAGAACTACTAGGAAAGAATATGACCGTCAACGAGCCCAAGCTCATCTCCGGCCCGGTGCGCAAGAACACTGCGACAACGCCGAAGAAGCAGCAGCAACGTGCAGCGACGCCGCTAAGGCCACAGCAGCAGCACCGCGACCCCCACCGCTCACCCGATGCGCAGACCAACGGGCGCAACACCATCATGGATGACGCTGACGAGACCTCCGCGGCATTCCGCGCACGCGTGACGGAGATTACGCGGTTTAAGGTCGTCTCGCGCGTGCGCCCCTTCATTGCGGAGGAGCTCGCGGAAATGGAGGGGCAGGAGCGCCGCTCCGTAGTGGAGATGGCAGATAACAAAACGGTAATTCTAGATCCGAAGGACTGCTGGGCGCCCAAGGCCCAGTTCGAGTTCGACGCCAGTCTCTGGTCGATCCCGCCTGAGCACCGTCTCGTGTACACGTTCCAGGACACGAGACGCAACACCTACGCGACGCAGAAGGATGTGTACGAGCTCATAGCAAAGGATCTCGTACCACATGTGTTTGACGGCTTCAACAGCTGCATCCTCACATACGGGCAGACNGGCAGCGGTAAGACATACACAATGATGGGGATGTACGACCCCAACGCCTCGTGCGGCGGTGAGGGAGAAGAGGGCATCATCCCACGTGTTTCGAATGACCTCTTCGTGATCCTCGCCGGAAAGCAGGCGGAGGAGGAGCGGAAGCAACCCAGCGACCGCGTCAGGTTCCGGGTCGAGGTGAGCTTCGTGGAGATCTACATGGAGCGTGTGCGCGACCTGCTCGACCCCGCGCTGAAGAATTCCAAGGGCAACGAGAAACTGCATGACGCCCGCATCCGGCAGGACCCGTACAGCGGCCCTTTTGTAGAGGGTGTGACGAAGTATCAGGTAGAGAACTGGGCGCAGTGTTGCCTGCTGCTCGAGCGCGGCTCGCAGCACCGCACGACGTGTGCGACGGCAGTGCACAACCAGTCCAGCCGCAGCCACGCCATCTTCCAGCTGACGGTGATTCAGGAGCATACAATTCCGGCGAAGGACCGCTACTCGCGGCCGATCGTGCGCTGCCAGGCGGGCCGCATCAACCTCGTCGATCTCGCTGGCTCCGAGCGCGGCGGGTTCCAGGAGTACGTGAAGGAGTCGGCGGCGATTAACACCTCGCTGCTTGCCCTGCGCCGCGTCATTGACAACCTGACAGAGCGACAGAACATCCTTATGGAGCAGGCCAGGGCGGAGATCACTGGGGCGTACTTCCAGGAGCGCACACTGCCACAGGTGCCGTTCCGCGATAGCGTGCTCACGTGGCTGCTCAGCGACAGCATCGGTGGCAACGCCCGCACCACAATGGTGGCGACACTCAGTCCACTCGTCAAGAACTACGGCGACACCCTCGCAACGCTGCAGTGGAGTAGCAAGGCACGCAACCTCGTGACGCTGGTGAAGGTGAACGACGCACAGACGACGGTGACAGGCGGCATGTCAAACCAAGCTGGCGAGCTTCACAACGCTGTGCGCATCCAGAGGCAGAACATGGACTCCCTTCGGGAGTCGCTGCGACTCAAGCAGGAACTCGCGGAGCGGCTAGAGCGTGAATGTCACACCATGACACGGCAGACGGCAAAGAACAAGGAGACAGTGAAGCAGTTGGTGTTGGAGCGGCAGGCGGTNAGAGCGTGAATGTCACACCATGACACGGCAGACGGCAAAGAACAAGGAGACAGTGAAGCAGTTGGTGTTGGAGCGGCAGGCGGTCACGGTACAGCGGGCGATGCACCGCGGCGTGTGGCTGAAGAAGATTCGGGCGCTTGACGAGCAACAGGAGAAGCTGCGCGGTCAACTCGTCGCCAGAAAGAAGTCGCTGGAGGACACTGCCGGTAAGAAGGTCGCCGCCAGCGAGCGTGAGGCGGCGCTGCGCCAGAAGCTCGCCGACACCCAGCGCCGTGAGGAGGATTTGCGCATCGCGGTGGCGGAGAAGGAGAGCGCCAACGACGCCTTCGACGTGGAGTACGCCGCGACGTTGGAGGAGTACAACGCGCTGCGCCGCGAGACGGAGGCGGATGAGGTCGTGAAACAGGCGGCAGCAGCGGCACAGGCCAGCCAGAAGGAAACGCAGCGGCGGGTCGACGACGCGAAGCGCGAGGCCGACGCGGCCGCCGAGAAGGCCAACATGATGGAGGCGAAGATCCGGGAGAGCAAGCAGGCGGAGTGGCGCGAGCAGGTAAAGCGCGATGGGGCTGAGGCGGCGGAGCTCCGCCGCAACCGCGACGAGCTGCGGCGCAAGCTCGATGAGCTGCAGGCGCGGAAGGGCGAGCTGCAGGCGGTGGTGGACAAGCGGCAGAAGAAGCATTAAGAGAAAAACATGTTTGTTTCGTCTCTCTCTCTCTCTCTCTCTTTCTCGCTGTGTGTCTGTGTATTGGGGATTTGTAATGAGGCAGTAAAAACGCAAATGAAGGCTGTGCGGAGGCGAGAGAGAGAGAGAGAATACGTATCACGTGGTAGAGTGCATCGCTTCAAAAGGAGAGCAACGAGGAGAACGAAACTCTGTGTGTCTGTGTCTGTGAAAGCGATCAAACTAGCAGAAACGACCACACAAAAAAAAGGGGGAAAGAGACATTGAGAGGAGCAAAGTAAACGTGCCTCGGCGCCGCTACGTCGTGTGGGGAAGCCCCTGTGGAATGCACATGCATGCACGCGTGGATATGGGTGGAGTGGAGGATGCGCCACCACACGCGCGGGGGTGGCCGGCGCACACCCACACCCTTTGCGCCATCATTCGGACTTCCTTATTTCATGTTTCCCAACTTTTTTTTTCTTCTTCTTCTTCTTCGGGTCTTCTTGAGGTGTATTAAAGGTCTTCCTCCTTTTTTGTTGATTTTTTTTCGTGCTTTCGTTGTTTTTCCGTTCATCTTCGCTGGTGTGTGTGTGTGTGTGTGTGTGTTCAGTGGGGCTGGTGTGTTTCTCCTCCTAATTCATTTTTCTCCACCGCCGCCCAGGCGCACTTCTCTATCTTCGCTTCTCTTCTCGGCTCCCCCTCCGCTTTGTGCGGCGTCTGCTGCTGCTGC